TACAGAGAGTATTATTTTTGTTAGTAGTAGTAATATAGGCCTATTACTTATTAATATATATATTATAAAAGTATTAGCTATTATATTATACTATAAAAAGACTATCTTACTTACTATACTAATTTACTAGAGACTAATAGGTAATGCAACACTACTTCTTTAAAATAGATAGAGTAATACACTTATATATAGGTACGTAGTTAAGGTAGTTATTACTAGAGATATAGGTATTATAAGAACTTCTAGAAGTCTAGTGTATATAGAAAACACTGCGCGCTTATTTATTATATAGATAATAGTATAAGGTAAAGTTCTATTAGTAGTCTATAGTAGTAAAAGAGTAAATATCTCTATTCTAGATATACTATTAATAACTAGAAGAGATATTATCTTAAATATACTTCTTTTTATAGTAGAGACACTAGAAGTATTTATTAATAAGAGAAGTGTCTTTAGGTATAGTTACTAGAGTAGTAGAGAAAGAAGTAGAAAGAATAGTAATACTATTACTATATTTACTCTTATATATAGCTATAGTTATAGTTTTATTATTATCTAGAGGTAAGTGTACTAGCATAGTAGAGATAATATTATTATTATTATAGAGGTTATTAGAGTTATTATAGGTAGTATATTCTAGTGTAGTAGAGATAATAATATTATTGCTATTATAGTTAACTAAATTATTACTATTAGTACTAGATAAAGTAGATAACTTAGTATTACCTCTAAAGAAAAGTAAAACTATTAGTTAGGTAAGTGTAGCTACTTAATACTACTTTCTCTTTTTCTTTTATTACGTATTTTTCTTACGCCTACAGAGAAGATAATTATAATTATACTAGGTTTAATAGTTATAATTAATATTTTATTAGGTATATTAGATATAGAGATTATTATTATCTATAATTACCTAAACACACTTTAGATTAGAATAGAGATATAAGCTACACGTAGTATTACTATTAACTTCTATATACTCTTTATATAATTTAGAGAGTAGAGGTATATTAGACTAGTATAGTAGATTACTAAAAGTATCTATAGTACTAGAAAGAGATATTAAAGTAATATTATTATATAGTTTAGTATAGTTAGAGTTATTAGAAGCCTTTACTTTATTAGAGATTAGAGGCGTAATAAGAAAGACTTAATTATTAATATAAATGCTATAGAGTTAAATATTATTAAAACTAGTAGAGTTATTAATATAAGCTATAGAAACGCGCTTAACTTTATAAGTATTAGAGCGCTATATAAAGTATATCTAATTATAAAGAGCGTATAAGAAGTAAGCTAAATAGCCTTATAAGTAATATAATATAGTAACACTAATTAGTTAATTAAGCTTAGAAAAAGTATTATAGAATATACCTCTAGATACTTTTTAAGAGTATAGTACGTAATTATACTAGTATAGATTAAGATAAGCTCTTAGAAGCTTTACTACTTAAGAGAGCTTTCTAAGTAAGCTTATAATATAATAATTTATCTTCTATTTATTTCTATGCTTCTAGACGTAATAAAAAGTAGTAATATATACCTACGCTCTCTAGGTATTATTCTTAGTAAGGTTTAGCTTTCTATTATATAAGGCTTTATATAGTGTCTTTAAGAAATAAAGTACTTTTAAAGAAGCTCTATTCTTTTTATTAACTAACTTCTATATTATAAATACTTAAAAACCTTTAGATAATATAGTATTATATAGAGTCTTCTTATATTAGTTAATAATACCTTATACTATAATAGAAGTAAAAGTAAGATCTTAGATTATAGTAGTAGTATATTCTTATATAGTGTAGTAGAAGCGTTTAGTAGTACTAGCGTAATAATAAGTATATAGTACGCTTAGCTTTATAGTAATACTATAAGTATTATAGTAGGTAGTAATTATTCTCTATATAAACTTATTATTATACTAAATACGTATAATAGGCTAGCTATACTTAGTAGATAGATAGGTAAGAAAGTTTATAAATATCTAGGTAAGAGTATACTTATTCTTAAAGAATTAAACCTATGTAAAACGTATAGCGTTATTAATAAGAAATAATATATAGCGCTTTTCTTTAATTCTAGAGATAAAGTAAAAACTCTAGATATTAACTATAATAAGCTTACTAAAGTGTTTATAGTGTTAGTTTATAGAATTCTAAAGAACTTTATAGAGAGTATAGGTAGTAGCGTAGATAGAGTATATATTCTTTACTTTTACCTAGATTTATTTATTAGTAACTTTTATACTATAGCTAATTTTTATAAGCTAATATATATATTCTAGAAAGAGATAGCTAAGTTAATAGTATTTAGACTATATAGAGTTATTAAAGTTAACTATAGCTATAGTAAGAAGGTTAGATAAGAGCGTAGTATATAAGATGTATACGTTTACTCTAATATAAAAAGATATAACTATAATTTTCTTATTATTAGACTTTTAATAAAAAAGTATACTATTACGCCTAGTAGTAGTAGTATAGTAACCTAGGTCTAAGTAAATAAAAGAGGTAATAGAAAGAAGATTATACTATATAGTAGGTATATACTACATATTATTAAATTATAAAATAATATAAGTTCTGTTCTAAGTAGTTATAATAAACTTAATAGTACTTTTTCTAGTAATCTTAAGCTATAATTCTTATTTATATACGCTAATATACTTAGAGTAGTATTCTAGCTTAGAGAAAAGAGTAAGATTATTAGTAATATATTATAAAGTACTACTATTATATATCTAGTATATAGATATAGAGGTAGAAGTAGTTACTATAAATATAGATGTATTAAGACTATTAACTATATCTAGACCTATACGCCTACTAACTATTTAGTTAGCCTCTCTTAAACTAGTAAAGTACTTAGAGTTTTAAGCTAAGTTAGTACTAGAAATAGGTATAGAGTAGTTATATGTATAGTTAATATCTAGATAGTTAATATTAGAGCTATTAAAAGTAGATATAAGTAAAAGATTATAAGTAGACATAATAATATAGTTAATAAAGAAAGTATTCTTATCTATATTAGCTAGTGTAAGGTCTATATTTAAAGTAGTAGCTATACTAGAAGTAGACTAGTTAGAGTAGACAGCCTAGTAGTTCTTCTTATAATAAGTAGTAGTAATATAACTAAGCTTCTTATAGAAGGTATATATAGAAGTGTTAGACTTACTAATATAATAATAGATAGTAATAGAGTATCTAATATTACTATAGTGCTTATACTTAGAGAAAGTAAACTTATTAGAATTATTATTAAGAATATAGAAAGTGTAGAAGTTAGCTACTAAGGTTACTTAGAGAGGCTTATTCTTAGAAGTATTTTACTTATTCTTATTATTATTTTAGTAGTTAAAGAGAAGAGTTTTATAAGTCTTAAAAATATTATTAGTAATAAGAGTACTATAGTAGAAAAGCTTCTAGTAATTAAGAAATATATTATACTAGTAGAGAAGAACTCTATTAATTTTATTAATTAACTATAAATATAATAAAGTTCTACTAGCGTTATAAAAGTTATAAAATATTTTCTTAAACTTAAATAAAAAAGACTAAATAGTAGTAGAATTAGTTATAGTAATCTTATCTAGCTTAAATAAAGTATAGTTAACTAAGATATTCTTAGAAGCCTTATTATTAGCTTAGATAGTATAGTATATAAGATAAAGATTAAGTATATTAAGCTTCTTAAGCTCTTACTAAATCTATAGTTTAATAGATATATAAAGAAGAGTAATAGTAAAGTATATAGACTTATTATACTTTTTCTACTACTAGAGAGTATAGTTATAGATAGTAAGCTTAGTAGTAGTATTAGATAGAATTAGAGTAGAGATAGTAGCCTTTTTACGTAGGTTAGTAGTAGACTAAGAATATATAGTATAAAGAGTAATATAAGTAGAAAGTAAAAGCTTCTTAAAATTCTTACTAGTATTATTATAGTAGTCTACGTAACTATAAATAAAGGTAACTTTAATAAAAGCTTTAGACTAGTTTTAGTAGTTATTAGAACTAGTAAGCTTTTTAAAGTTCTTACTTAAAGTAGAAGTAACACTATTAATAGTAAATATTATAAGTAATAAGATAGTTTATAAAAAATAAGTAGAAAAGAGAAGAAATATATAGTAGTTAGTATACTAAGAAGTTAAAAACTAAGTTACGTAATAGTAACGCTTAGAAATTATTATATAACTATAGTGTAGAGAGAAGTAGCTAAATTACGCGTAGTAGTGTAGAGGCTTATAACTTATAAAATAATAAGAGAAAAATATAATAATTATTTTATATAAGAGAGAGAAAGCTCTATATATATACTACTAGGGCGACGCTAGTAAGTGAATCACGTGATAGGATCCTAACCAACACCTGCCTCTGCCTAATGGCTTGTTAGAGGCATACATTTTGGCTGCAACACCACCGAAATTTCTACTCTTCTACGTTTGCAGACTGCGAGCGGGCTGGTCGTCCTCTTGCAGAGGTCTTGTAGGCTTGGTGGGCGGTTTCACGACGATGCTGTGCGTGGGTACTACGGTAGCTGCTTCGATGTCTTCTCTTGCATATCGTCGAAGTTGTCCGTGATGTCGGCTGTTCCAAGTGTAGATCCCGGAGGTACTTGACGGCCCAGCCTGTTCTCATGATGGATTTAGACTCAACGTGAAAGGCACGCCCAATAAAGAATTGTAGGGCATGACGCGAAAAGACTGTCATGTGTATACCGAGGACCTCGTCTTGCGCGAGAGGTTATTTACGGCGCAGTTCTTGATACGATTACTGGGCATTGCAGACACGACCCAGATCCAGAACGAAATCTGCACAAGTCGAGTAGAGCGGTACGCCGGTGCAAAGTGAAACGGAGTGAAAATTTTCTGCCTCCTCGCATAGCGAACAAGTTGGTTGTTGTCCCATACGCAATGCTTGGCATCCAAACTCTGGTGTCTACATCGTTACATTTGCCCTCCCTTACACTTTTGCTGACGCAATACTGGAATTCCCACAAATATGGGTACAATTCAGACGAACATTTCTGATCCATGCGCAGCATTGAGGCTGTATCGGAAGAAATTCGAGGACGCAGAAGCGCTCTTCGACAGCGGCGATATAGCTGGCTGCATATTGGCAGCTCAGCGCAACATAACGTAAGTGGTAGCAACAAAACAACCACCACAATTAGTATTGCGACTAACTATTCCCAGCGACACAACTCTTCCGCCGTACTACATTATAAGAAACTGTATACTTCTCACGAGCGCTATGGATAACTGGGACGATGGCAATGACTGGAGGCTCGCAGCGGTAAGATTTCCAATGTACAGACTGGATTTGAGACATACGCTGACTTCGACCGTGTCGTATCAGGAGAGCTGTCACAGTAATACGGTACGGCGGGCAACGGAAATGAATGATGCCGATTCGCTCGCTGCCCTACAAGATCTCCGTGAGGAGCTTGACTGGTTGGCTGAGCAGCGAGACCAATATCTCCAGGAACACAGAGCATGGATGCTTGAACAAGAGGGAGAGGACGATGACGCCGAGACGGACTCGGAAGGAGATGGAGTTGAGTTGGACGACAGCGAGGAGGAGGCGGAGATGGAAGCCAAGGACGTTGAGTTAGGCGAGAGTAACGCGTTGATGGGAGGTGGGGACACTCAACACCTTCCGATCCGCGGACCACAAGCTCCCACGGCAAGCCTCGTAGTCAATCGAGAGGACGAGCGTTCTGCCATTCTTGCAGCGACCGCCTTCCTTTTCGAATGCCAGTCGTACATACCGGGGCATATGCAAGGTCAGTATATCCAGGCGGTCCTGGAACTTCAGGAAGCTGCCATGCGCACCATCAACAGCATGTCTTCCACAGCTTCCGCAGCTTAATGGTTTCAGGTATGTTGTACGTAAAGTGTTTCCATGGTAGTTCTAGAGCTATACAACCTTGTCCACGTCGATCTCGTTGAGCTTGCGATGACTTGTCTTCCGCATTGGGTATAGCCTTCCAAGGTTAGGTCAAGCCACTCATCGGAGGGGTGCGACCGAGGCACCGATGGGTCCAGGGAAGCTCCAGATGTCCGTCGCATGCCCCTCCTCATCTAGGTATCTTGTGACATCGAACCGCCGCACGGCTCCGCAGCTACGATTATCACTACCGTTGACTCCGCTCGTATCCCTTCAATTAACTCTCGCATTGTCTCGCAGTATACATTCGAGCTCACAGTATACATTAAGAGCACCATTCTACAGCTTAGCATACCTCGAGGTTCCAGGCGCGGACATCCGGTGGCTTACGAGATCTTTTTCTAAGCAAAGTGGTAGCGAGCTCTACGCTTTGCAAGCACGCGGAACGACCAAGCTCCGTTATTCTTCCTCGACACGACTATTTTAAGAGAAGGCGATACCAGGCGAAAGTAATTGGACCAGAGTCATACCCCAAGCATGCCTGCTGAACTCCAAAACGGGCTGCCTGCCCATGGTACCAATGGCGTCAACGGCAACGCGACGGAGCTCTCAAATCCCACACCCGCACACCCAGCGTTCGACTCGATACCAGATGTCATACAAGCCTTCGGTACGTGTCTGCGAACACCTCCAGCTCCAAAAGCTACCATACCCCTCACCCCGCACAACCCTTACTAACGCGCCTTCCAGCAAATGACGAATTCGTGATCGTCCTTGACTCACCCTCGCGCGAAAACGAAGGCGACCTGATAATCGCAGCCGAAGCCCTCACCCCCTCAAAAGCCTCCTTCATGATCCGCTACTCAAGCGGCTACATCTGCGCGCCCCTCCCCGTTTCCCGCGCCGCCGCCCTGCACCTCCCGCAAATGGTCGCCGACAACGCCGACCCCAACCGCACCGCCTACGCCGTCAGCATCGACTCATCCGACGCGTCCGTCACAACCGGCATCTCAGCGACCGACCGCAGCTTAACATGCCGCATGCTCGCCGACCCCAGTGCTAAAGCTAGTCACTTCAGGAGACCGGGTCATATATTGCCATTGCAGGCGCGGGATGGTGGTGTGCGCGAAAGGAGGGGACACACCGAGGCGGCGGTGGATCTGTGTCGGTTGGCGGGGAAGCAACCTGTTGGTGTTATTTGCGAGTTGATTACCGATGGCGACGAGGTGCCTGGTAAGCCCGAATTGATTGGTGGGGGCATGATGAGGAGGGATGACTGCTTGGCTTTTGGCAAGAAGTGGGGGATCAAGGTGTGTACCATCGATGATATGGTGAGGTATATTGAGGAGAATGATGGGGTCTTGGGCACGTCCTCATAGTTTGAGGCGGGCAAGGGACCGGGTAAAGGTGCCATCATGAGAGGGAGGACATTTGTGAGATGATCCCCTTGGTATGTTGTAGGTGGACGGTGTCGGCGCACTTTGAGGATACACGCGCTTTAGTCATGGCATGGAAGAAAACCTGATACTGTACTATTAGATACTCCAATCCAGCGCAAGCTTCTCGATCCGAAAGCCAGAAGAACCGTACACATGTCATTCTATACACTCCGACGAAAACGAGCTCCGCCCACGCTTATACCATGGAAAGCAAACACAACGTTCCCGCCCATCGCGAACGGCACAGTACGCGCCAAGGCCAAGCAAGCAAACCACCTCCCAGCTATACACTCCAGACGATAAGACCGCCCTCATCCACTACCCCCATAGAAATCCTCCAACTTCCCCACCACCTCCTGCATAACCTCTTCCCTGACCGCAAAATTCACCCTCGCCCAACCCCCATCCTTCTCCACCCCATTGAACGCCCGCCCAGGTGCAACCTTGATCCCACCTCTTCCTTCCAATTCCCTCCAGAAAGCGTTCTCCTCCTCTCCTGTCCTAGTCTTCTTTGCCAGTTTAGCAGCGAGGAAGGGGCCGTGTGTAGGTACCACGATCTCGATGTCGTGGCGTCGGAGGAAGGAAGCGAGCATGTTGTAGGAAGTTGACAAGCGGGATGTGTTCAGAGTGAGAAGGGAGGGGAGGAAGGATGATGTAAGCAGGGAGGTCAGATAGATGGACGAGAGGGAGGAGGGGTGGGTAGCCGTCAGTGCCAGGGAGGAGAGGAGAGGGGTGTTTTGTTGGGATACCACGCAACCCTGAAATACTCATATCAGCTCCTGGTCGTTCCAGCCCGTGCAGTTTTGAGTGGACAAGAAGAGCGACTTACGATTTTCAGTCCACCTAATCCGAATAGTCGACTTGCATCCCACACCACATGCACGCGACTCGGATCGACCTTGACGGCTCCTTCCGGTACAAGCGGCTCAGTTAACGACAACGCGCTCACGAACATCTCACCCTTTCTTTTCTTCTTAGCCCCTCCGCCCCCTTCCTTCCCATCTAATGCCATCAGCCCAGCCCCCTCATCAACAATCAAATGCAATCCTCTTTCTTGGCAGAACTCCAGTAATTCTCTTAAGGTCTCCCGGGGGTAGCATCGCGAGAGGGGGTTGTTGGGATTAGAGAGCAAGACGGCTTTAATCCGCGTTCTGTAGTCGGAGAAGTCGTAGGCGGCTTGCAGGGAAGGGACGAGGTAGTTGTCCCAGTGGATGTGGGTTGGTGGTATGACGGGGATGGGTGTTACGTTTGCTTTTCGCTTCAGTAAGAGCGAGAGGGTGGCTGTAGTTATATCAGTCAAAGAGGGTAATTTTGTAAGTGAGGGTTGGACGAAGTTATGGATATGACCGGAAAATAGCAATGGAAGAGACTTACGACAACTCGGACCAGGAACAAGCACACTATCCCCATCGTCGCAAACAGAATGGATCACGTTCTCAATCGCGTCCGTAGTCCCAGCTGTAAGAACGATATGTTCCGCTCTCACAGCATGAACAGGCTTGAAATACGCATTGAAAAAGCCCGCAAGAGCATTCCTCATCCCTAAATCGCCGCCGTTAAAAGACTCCGTGGGGGACGTAAATACCTATCGTAGATTCATACCGAATTAGTACATGTGCAAAACCATACTTGAACAAACGCATCCCGACGATCTTCGCAACCGAAATCGGAAACAACATACCTCAACCGCCCCCACATCCCTCACAACATCCCCCAGAAACTTTTGTAACTCGGGATACAACACCTCATTCCCCCCACAACTGAGATCAATCGTATTGCCAAAAGGGTCGAACGTCTCAGGTGCGGTACCCGAAAGCGCAGGCGCAAGCCCTTCGAGCGCGGAACGCGCTCGTCGCGACAGCCCCGGGTCCATCATGGCTGAGACGGAGAGGTGGCGCGTGCTGCGCATTCAGGAATGCAGTATAGAGATGCGTGATGTATGATGTACGAGATCGAATTGAGGTGGCTACTGTGGGGAAAGCGACCCTGCAGCACGTCGCAGCTCGCTGTCGCAGATAAAAAACGTTGCGATCTCATTGTCCGGGGTGTGCTGCCAAGGGTGGTCGCTGCGGTCTGCGGCACAGTTATTTGTGAGGACCCAGTGGACTGGTAACCTGGGGCTGACGCGACGCGTCTTGTTGGTTGGGCAGGCGGCCGGCGAGGGACGGGTCATAGCTTCGATACGATACGGTGACGGGATGTCGAAGAAGAGTAGGAAGAGAGGACAGAGTGAAGATTATAACATCTATTATTGGATTCGCGATAATGAACACAAGCGTGTGGGGAATCTCTGAAGAAGGGAACGAAGGGAAAAACGACATCTCCCTCTGCACCAAGACCATGCAAGTCATATAGCCTGCACGCGTGCTTTTCTTCCCGGTCTATCCTAAGCCTCATGCCCTGCCCTGCCTAACACTATTACACAAATGCATGCTCCAAGCCAGACCAACGCCGTTGAAGATGCTCACGGATAAATGCATGCAGAGCGCATGCAGGCACCCTAGTTAAAGGAAAACCTAAACACCCTAGAGCCTACATTAAGATAAAAGCTTGTAAAGTTAGTAGCTTAACGGCGACGTAGGCTCCTAGGTGTTTAGTTTTTCCCTTGTATAGGGTGCAGGGTCCAAGATAAGCGATGAGCTACGAAGCCCTATGAACGCCCTCGAGAAAATCTGTGTGTGCCCGTCTCGATTTTGGGTGAAGCGCGGCAATTCGTTCGTGCAAGCGCAAAGATGACTGCTCGTCGAGAAGATGAGGTCGAGTCGGCAAGTCGCTATTCTATTGCTGTGGCCGTCCGATACCTTGCTTAGCCTGAGGAATTGTAAGCTTCGTCGTTAAAAGTAAAACAAAGACGGCGGTCTTCTTCAAAGTGTGAGGTGTCGGAACTGACCTTCATCATCTCGATTCTCTGCTTGAGATTCTGGGTAACCTCTGCTGCGCGCTTCCAGCTTTCCGCACCAGATGCTCCTGCGGAAGGTACCCGTTGAGCTGTTCCGTTCTCTGTTGGGCTCCTGCCATCACGCGACATCGACGACAGACCATCTGCTCGTGGACTTAGTTTTCCGCTCAAGTTACTGCCAGGGCGAGATAGAGAATCAAAGTTCTCCTTACCATCGCCGCCCGGGCTTCCTGGCCCACTGGCAAAACTCCTCTCTCGCCTTGGGTGCATGGCCCGACTGCCGTAGCCGGAGTCACCGAAATGCGCGCCGTTGGTGTTACCAACTCCGTTGTCAGTGTATATCTGGTCTCCGACGTCTGTAGCTGGCGGAGAATTTGAACGCGCCTGTCTAAGGAGTTCGCGCTTCAATCTATCAATCTCGCGACGCTGGTTCTGTACTGTCTGCTCGGATGCTTCAAAGTCTGAGCGCGCACGAACGAGCTGCGTCTCCTTTGCCTTTATCGAGAGCACGTCGCGGGTGTGATCTTCGATGAGCTGAGCGTTCTGGTTCTGGAGCTCATGGATCTGCGAAGTTAGGTTTGTCCTTTCTCCACGCAGATCTTCATTCTGTCGCCGTACACGGTCAACCTCTGCTCGTAGCTCAT